GCAGAGTCTGTCCAGCTGCCCTACCAGTACGCCTGTTATATAGCGGACGTAAACCCCTCAGTTTTATGGACTCGAAATGATCTTAACCCTAAAATCATCCACCGACAAAGAGAAGAAGGAGCTGATCCTTCAGACCAAAACCAGCTGTACAGAAAACGGACCTGGATGAATCCTGACCTTCTGGATACCGGAAACTTCAGCCTCACTCTGAGAAAACCTCACCTGTCTGATAGTGGAAACTACACCTGCACCATCTCTGATGGAAGAGTAGAGCTAAAACTGACACAGGTTCAGCTGGAGGTCAAAGGTCAGCAAAGGAAATTATTTGTTAACATTTTTGGTAAAGATATAAATTAATTTTTAGAGCATCACAGAGACACAGAGGACACTGTGAAGCCCACTCCCACTCATGTTTAAGGGCCGTTTAGAAAAACCCACAAAGCTAACAGTGTCGAGTTTAGTGGAAGTTAGTTGAGGCCAAAAATGCTAACATAAAGAGAAAGAGATGATTTCTCTTAACTTAGAGAAATACAACCAAAACCAGGAGAAACATACAGGAGGAGTGAAGAGGATCCAGCAAAGAGGAAGTAGAGATGAGGAGTATATATGGGAGACAACAATGAAAACAAATGAAAACAAAGAGGAAAACTAGAGGATTGGGGACTGGAGAAAACCAGAAAACACCAAAGAGGAATAGTAAAACTAAGAAGTAACTCAAAACATGATATAATTGTTAACAGTTAAAAACAGAATAAAAAATTCACTGGAAAAATTATCTTGAAACAAGTAAAAGTTTCTTAAATTAGGTGTATTTACCCTTAATTTGAGCAGGTAAATGAGATAGTTTGCTAATGGAATGTGTATTTTTACTCTTAAAATAAGAGAATTTGATAATATGCACTTGAAATAAGACAATGTTTGTGTTTTCTTATTTTAAATCTAAATTGTCTCGTTACATCGGCAAAATGTCTCAATCTCCTCAATTCAAGAACAAATACACTTATTTTAAGAAAAAAAAAAAACTAATCTAGATTTCGATTTTTTTGTCCAAGCATAACTGAAAACCCAAAGTGAAAATTAAATACAACCAAAAATCCAAACAGCAGATCAGAACAAACCGTCATGGTTCTGGAAAGTGGGAGGAAGCAGGAGTACCCAGAGAGCCATGATGCGAGTACAGAGAGAATCAGCAGCATCCAAACCACAGACCTTCTGGCTGCTTGGCGCTGCAGCGTTTCCCATGCAGCTCAGCTTTAAGCAGCATTTATTTTCCTCCCTTATTTAGTATAAAACCGTATCAAATCCGTGTTTTCTGGTTTAGTTTAAAACATTTTAAAGTCGTTGAGTCTTTTATGTTTGGATCTAACTGGATGGCTTTTAGCCAAACAGAACTAACCTTGAACCCGTCTCTATGCTGGAGTTATGGGGGGAGGTGGGAGTGAGAGGATGGCGGTTGCCTCCTCAGTCTAGACAAGAGTGAAATATAGAAACATGCCTTTGAAGGTGTTTAAGACTCCCTAATGCTGTGAACGGCAGAGACGGCTGCTTTGAAATGTTTTTATCTGATTAGTGAAAAATGTTTTTGATAACTCAGAGTTGTTTCTCTTGGGGAGACCCAGTGTTCGTACGTGAGAATAATCTTTATAATCAAGGATGGGAAACTACCGCGCCAGAGCCTCACTAACAGTTTAACTGTGAGTGTTGTTCTCCTCTGCAGGGAAAATAAAACTATTTCTTTCTTGCATATCGACTTTCAGAGCTCATTTTACTTCACAGTTTCTCAGGGCTGAGGTCTCGGCCCTCTACTTTTCTCTTTATATCAGCTCATTATCATCTAATTTTAGAGAACATGGTCTCTGTTTTTAAAGGAAAAGTTCAGTCAGCAGGAATAATCAATGGATCATTATTTATACCTAAAACTAAATGTTTGTGGTCATTTAATCAATTTAGCGTAATTCAGTAAAAAAATTAAAATAATACTTTCCGTCTCGATCATAGAGTCTGGGAGCGGCCATTTTTGTCCAAATATAGTAGCCCCTCCCTCCTGCCATCTTCCAGCAGTGACGGTGCGGTAAGCCTAGCGCCAT